CCTGGGCCTGCCATGCATGCACACTGACCCTCTGTCAGCCTCTGTGTTCTGGGCCTGCCATGCATGCACACTGACCCTCGGATCTGCTGAGGGTGACCTTTGCTGTGGGTTCTTTGTATTTCTCTAGGCTCATCAGATTCAAGAGATGTTCCCCCAGGTTCCATACCACCTTGTGCTCCAGGACCTCCAGATGACACGCTCCGTGGAAATAACAACAGATAACATCTTAGAAGGACGGATTCAAGTACCTTTCCCCACACAGGTAAAACTGGGGCTTTATGCCTAATAAATGTATTTTATTTTTACAAAGATTTGGTCCTGACACCTAGATACTGTTTATGATTTGAGGAAGGGTTTATATAAATTTCATTTTATTCAAATCCTATATGAGAATAGATCAACCAAAGGTAAATACAGATAATTTGAGTATTTTTTATGCAGAACCATACCCCAAATCAGCCTCCCTTGCTGCAGGTCTATGAGGGGAGGCCATTGGCTCCTGCCAAAGTTGACATCTGTTTTTGTGAAGAGCAAAGAGTGAGTATTTCGGCTCTGCTTGTTCCACAGTCTGTGGCAACTAAAGTAGCCATTGGCAGTGAGTATGTGATGAGCAAGCCTGTGGTCCAGTAAAACATTATCTGTAGAAGTGGGTGAGAGGGGTGAACACGGGGCTATGGTTTATGGATCCTTGGCAGTCCAAGAGAAGGCTGGTTGTACGTAGATTGTACTTAGTGTGGTGTGTTTAGTTACAGCTCATATCTCTCTGAGGCTTGGACTTTGAACTTCATTAAAAAGATCAGAGTTTCTGCCTCATCACTCGGCCTCTGAGAGAGGTACAAAAAGAGCAACAGAGGTGCCTTCAATAATACTGAGGAACTTACATAAGTCTAGATAATCACCTACCAAAAGTTCCTTTGTACAGTCTATAAATGAACATAAATGAGAGATGTATCACTAAAATTCAAAATGATGAAGCTCTTTTGAAGAGTGTAGCCTTTGGAGACAGCTGGGCTAAGGTGTTAGCTATATGGTCCCTTGGGTCTCAGCTATCTGACCTAGCTGTCTTTGGAGGTGACAGAGTTGCCTCATATGGCCAGATAGGGTTGTCAGTGAAACACATAAACCAGCTAGCAGACGTGAAGGCACTCAGACCTGAAGGGATGTATTCTGTGGGGAAGACCCAGAACAGTCCTAGCCTGGAGACCTAATTGCAGTGCCGGCTTCAGAGCACTTTAGGGAGGTTACTGAGAAAACCATAACAGTGTTTACTCATGCGGTTGACCTCTGCCATTGCTTTTGTTGTGCAATCACTGTTATTGAACAGGAAGCTGAATGTCGAGCCATTGACTAACTACTCTCGAATATGTGGACCTCCCAGTCCTTTGTCTCACCTTTCAGGTTGTGAGCTGTGTTGAGAACTCTCACCTACCCCCTCTGTTACCCCATTCTGAATGACTGCTGTGCTTTCTTTCAGCGGTCAGATAGCCTGAGGCCTGCACTCAACAGCCCAGTGGAAAGGCCCAGCACTGACCTGGAGGAGGGAGAAGCTTCTCTCCAGGTAAGGTCAGCTTACTGAAGCTGTGAGCTGTAGAGGTGCAGCGTGGTCTGTGCATTAGTTACAGTCACCTTGCTGTTGGCAGCAACAGCTTAAGGGAAGAACTGTTTATTTTGGTTAATTGTTGGAGAGGGTTTCAGTTTGTCACAGTAGGGAGGCATGGTGGGTAGTTAAGTTCATGGTGACCAGATTGTGATGGAGGAAATTTCATCATCCAAGGCTAGAAAGCAGTGAGCAGGGCAGAGACAGGAGCAGGTTATCTCCTTGGAAGGCCTGATACTAGTAACTTACTTTTGCCTGCTAGGTCCCACTGTTAGAGTCAGGTTTTTCGTATCCCATTTATGATTGAAGAAGGCCCTGGTAGTGTGCCTTCTCAGAGCCCAAGGCTCCTGCTTCTGCTTCCTGTCTGGCAGAAGTTCCAGGAGACGCTTGTGTAGGGGTGCACTGGCAAGGGAAGGAAGCGCCTGGGAGTCAAAGGCCTGTGGTAACAGCTGTCTTTCTGTCCAGACGGAGCGTGTACCACTGGACCTCAGTCCCCGCCTGGAGGAGACCTTGGACTTCAGTGAGGTAGAGCTAGAGCCCATTGAGGTGGAAGACTTTGAGGCTCGTGGGAGCCGCTTCTCCAAGTCTGCTGATGAGAGACAGCGCATGTTAGTCCAGCGTAAGGATGACCTTCTGCAGCAGGCTCGAAAGTAAGTTCATTCTCTAGCCCTAGTTGGCATACGTAAGCCACAGGGCAGATGGCAGCTGGGTGCCAACATGATCTCAGCCCTATACATGAATCGTCTGTCTTCCCCTTGGCTCTGAGGAGGAACACTGTTAACTCATGTGACAGACACAGTAAGAAACTGATACCTAGGGTGGTTAATCCTGCCAGGACCTGGGAGAGGTCTGCCTTTAAGATTCCTCTTGACTGCTCTTCCTTGGACCAGCAATATGAACAAAGACCTGTGTTGCATGAGTCCCCTGAAGTTGGTGGTAGCTAGAGCAGGTACTGTTCTTTGGGTGGGTAGAATTTGATTTCAGTTCTTCCAAGTGGGTTGTGGGCCTTGCACAGACCTGTTGTTATAAGTCCCAGTGCTGTCTGTGAGAAGGAGATAGGCAGAGGAGAGAAAGTTGAACTGTTATTTGATAGTCCTCTCCCTGGGAGTTAGGTTCATCCATGGAGTCTGTGCTGTCCTTCCCGCCTGGCTTCTTAGCTGTTCACCCTTCTTGGCTCTTCTTTCTTTCTCTCTTCCTCTCCTTTTATAGTTTTGGGTTGAGCACAGGGCTTCACACATGCTGAGCAAGTGCCCTGCCTCTGAGCTGCACTGGACCTCAGCCCATGGGCGAGGCTGTTTTTATTATAGGATGACCTTGAGTGACAGCTGCGAAGGTGCTTGTGGAGAAGGGGAACTGAGAACAGCAGCGTTCTGCATGTCTTCCCGTTTGCCACCTTTCTCTCTTATGGCTTTCTCATTTCCTATAGGCGGTTCTTGAACAAAAGTTCTGAAGAGGACGGGGCCTCAGAGAGACTCCTCCCTTCTGAAGGCACATCCTCCGACCCCGTGACCCTGCGCCGAAGGATGCTGGCTGCGGCTGCTGAGCGGAGACTTCAGAGGCAACAGACGACCTAGTGCTTCCTCACCTTCCTCAGCCTCCTGCCCAGCCCTACCTACCGGAAGAGGCCTGTCCCAGTTTTGCCTGCTGTGTGGAGACCTGCGACTGCATTGCTGCTGCATAAAGCATGTGGTCTTGATAGTGTGTGGACAGCTGACAAATTTAATCCTTTGTAATACTTTCTATGTGACATTTCTCTTCCCCTTAGAAACACTGCACATTTTAACTCTAGGCATGGTCTCTTCTGGTGTTGACTGGACTTGCTAGGAGTAGGTGACAAGCAAAAGGAAGTGGACATTTGGGCACTCACCTGCCTGCAGCAGTTAGTTTGAATTTCTGTTTTGATATAAGCCACAGCAGATGTTGGGTATTTTAGCACCACAGCTGGAAGGAAGCATGGATTCTGGGGCAGGTGCATAACAGCAGTAAGAAGGTGTGCAGCAGGAGCCTGTCTCTACACTATGGCAAGGTATCCTGTTACTAGATGTTGTACGTAGGGAGGAAGCGTCCTGTGTTTCAGAGGCCAGTCCACAGGCTCCTGGACCTCCAGACCAGCAGAGCATCATGGAGAAAGAACTGCTCAGGGCTGCAGAATGAGGAAACCCTTTTCTGCCCTTAATCTTCAGGACCAATCTGAGCCCCAGTCCACAGCCGGCTTCACTTCCGTTCACTCTGGTGCTCTTGCATCACAGAAGCTTGCCCCATGGCCGCCTTTCTTTCTTTCCACTCCCTGCTTAATCTAGGCATGGGAAGGGGTTGAGTAGCAAGCTTTGGTTATGATTTTAATTCCTTGGTCAACCCAATTAGGCTATGTTAAGCATATGGGTTTGATCCTTGGAAAAAGGCATGGGTCCTGCAAGGCAGGGATGTTTTGCTGAAGAAATACCTTTCGTATCTTTCTCCCCTGGAGCCCTTCATTTTCCTGCTCTTGTTCCTGTGGGTCTCATTAAACAGAAACAGAGGATGTTAAATAATCCACATGCCTCAAGTGGTCTTGGTCCCAGATCTCAAATTCTCCACGTATTTAAAGATTTGAAACATGCAATCATAGGTTACATAGTTTTATGTCCCATTGGATTAAGGGTTTTTTTTTAATGTTTCAAAATATAGTTTTATGGTAGTCCTTTTGAGAAAAATCCAGTATTATCTAAAATTATTGGCAAAGTTAAATGTATTTTACATACCTGAAAGTTTTTAGAGTGTTGACAAGTAACTGAGACAAGGATAATAGGCAAATAGGTGAAGATAATTTATTTCAATAAATCTTTCAAAAGCCTTACCTTGAACTGCTGTTAGTTAAATTCCTGTGGGTTTTGTTTTTGTTTGTTTTGCTGAGAGCAGAGCAATTTGTTTTTATTGTAAAGCAACAATAATAAAAAGCAATCTCTTGTAATGTGGTGTGTGTGGGGCCACTGGAGACCCACGCTGCTCTTGTGTGTGCTGTCTGGGTTGGGGTGTTTTGTAATCCTGTTGAACTGGGTGGGGCGTTGTTTCTCATGTGTTTACTTGGAGGAAGTAGCACTGGGTTTGTCTTTGCCTGATACCTTTCCATGCTGCACATGAAACGAAAGGGAAAGCTAAGTCCACTGTTCTTCCATTTCAGATGTGGAAAGGTGGAAACAGCTTGCAGTCCCTTTCAGAGGGTCTAGAAACACTGTAGACTATTGAACAGATATAAATGGAAGTGCCTTAGTATGGCTTAAGATGGTTCAGGGAGAGAAGTCCCAAGTTTATGCTTGGTTTGTTTCCTCTATAGATGGGTTGGGTCAAAGGGAAGCTGGTAGAGAAATAATCTGGAGAGTTAAGGATTCTGGGTACAATAGAAAGCTTCTGGCTTTCATCACTTCTTGGGGACACTGGACAGGTGCTAAGTGAAGGCACTGGTGGTGAGACTGGGCGGCTCATCCATTGCCAAGTCACTGGTCCTCCAGCTCAGCTATGGAGCAGCAAAGCTTCAAGAGGCTTCTGGGTAGTTTTGGAACTATTCTGTAGTCCTCTTTTCCTTATTGGCCATATTTAATTTTTGTCTTCTCGGGTCCTTAATTTTTTTCTTTAAACTTTGATACTTTTATGTAGCAGAGAGGATGACTGCAAATTTACATTAGGATTGGTTTGACTCTTAGGTGCTTGGGTAGCCTGCATTTGACCTTCCCTAGAGTGGTGCAAACTCTTCAGTTTGCAGCCAGCAGGCTTGATCCTTTGTTGAGATTTTGGGAAAGGGATCTGTGAGCTCTTTGGGACTTGGGAACACACAAGTAGGAGGCTTGTTAAGGAGTTGTGTGTCTTCCTTGGAAGGCTCTCTATCTTACCTGAAGATTCGTCTCCCACCTCTGCTTTCAATAAGTTTGGAAGTGGTTCTAACCCTGGCTATACATGGAGTGTGTGTTTGTTTTTAAATAATGCATAGGTTCTGCCCCTGTGCTTCCTGTACTGAACCTTCCTCTCCCTAGCCTTTCCAGAAACTGCTTCTTTAAGAAAGAAGGCCATACTAGGATGTAACCTACATACTAGGATGTAACCTACTGAGTACTTGCCTTGCCTAACACATGCAATGTCCAGAATTCTATGTCCAGCACTGGGAGAACTAGAAAAATTAAGGTTTAAAACAAAACACTGGCTTTTATCTATCTGAAAAATCTACTTGTAGTTTGGTAAGTTGGGAAAGAACTTGCTAGAATATAGCTCATTTTGAGAGAAATTCAGACTGTCTGGATCATATTCTCCTTTGGCCTTCCATTGGGGGTCTTGGTTTGTTGTCTGATACAACAGTCAAGGGATTGGCTGTAGGTTGTGTGGCTCCCTCTGTATTCAGCAACTTGAAGTGAAGGCAATTGGCAAGGAAAGCACTGGAAAAGAGGTGGGGGTTGGTGGAAGATGCTTCAGGGTGTACCTGCATTTACTAGGTACTCATGACAGCTGGGGACAGGACTGTTAGCTTTGGTCTGAAACAGTATTGTGCCTGCACCTTCACACATATGCCATGCTGGATTCACATGACCAAAGGCATGTGCCATGTGTCTTCTGAGACTTTCAACATGGGATGCTGTTGGCATAGGATTTCACTAATAGACCCCTGTAAGGTTCCCCCATTACACTAATAGTTCCAGAACCTGCCCTTAGCTGCTTGCCTAATGACTGGTCTCTGGTGTGAGGCGTTTTGGTAGGCCCAGTCTTAATCCATTTGCTAGTTCTTATGCAAAGCCACATAGTTCGAGAGCTGTAGTGAGCTGCAAAGCTGACTCAGAGCCAAGCTGTGTTGTGTTGCTTCCCATGCTTTCTGTCTGCTGGGACCCTTGTACTCAGCTGCAGTGGGACAAGCAAAACCAGAGGAATCCTTCGGGGGAGAGTCTTTGGGCTAAGCTTGTCCTTTGGTCTCAAAGTGGGTGTGCAGAAGCCTGGGACAGTTTGACCTTCTTGGAAGCACCTATTTTCCTCTTGGAGGGGAACGCCCTGGGCACCGAAGACAGGAGATGGGCGGGCTTGTTTTCTCTCTGCTTTTCCTGCTCCAGTCTCAGGCCACCAGAAACTACAAAACCAGCTGTGCTGGAGGAGTTGCAGCAAACAGAAGCTGCCCATCTTCCTGCTCTCATTCCTGCAGGTTTGTGTGTGTGTGTGTGTGTGTGTGTGTGTGTGTGTGTGTGTGTACACGTGCACCTGCAAGAACATGTGCATGCACACATGAGAGCAAGAAAGAGGGGTATTAGGGAGAGGGAGAGGGAGAGGAGAGAGAGAGAGGGAGAGGAGAGAGAGAGAGCGAGAGTGAGAGAGCGAGCGCACAACAGGGAGGGAAAGTGGAGGAGAGAGGAAAGATACTTTTCCCAATTACTGTGCTTCTGAACTGCTTCCCCTCAATGACAAAATGTTGAGGGACTTAGACGATGCTGTGGAGAAATTCCTGACCCACCACCCTCCCAGGGTACGTGGTCGAGTGTCTCCTTTCCTGTTGGAGCGAAGCCCACCCCAGGGACGATCGTCTGGAAGGCAGAAGGTGAGACTCGGGTACAGACAAACATTCTCTTTATTGAGCTACACAGGAATCCATTAGAGAAGTAGGCTGGCAGTGTCAGGTGTCACAGAAACCTCACCGTTGGGAATAGAAAGGCTTACAAAGACCCGTGGGCTTTTTATTTTTATTTTTTTTACTTTTTTCCTGTTTTTCAAGTTTTTTTTCTGTATTTTTAATTTTTTGTGTTTAGCCTTTTCGCCTCCTTTATTGAAATGGCTGTGACTGGTCTTCAGCAAATAGTCTTAAAAGTGAAACTGTGAACAGGTCTGGGGTTAGATACTAGTCAAGTAGAAATGACATAGGACTGGTCATGAAAACTGGCTTTAATGTAAACACTACATTCCATCTTTTTAAATTTTTTTTTGTTTTTCTTCCATCTTGTGGTATTTAAAAACTTTATTTATTTATTTTTTTGTTCTTTTTATCTGCAGCACAAACATCCCAACATGAGAGCGAGGGAACACATGTCACTGGAACAGAGAGGAGAGGGAGAGGGGGAGGGCACACACAAGGGAGGGCTTCTGCCCAAGGCCAGAGGCTGTGATGTTAAAGGAAAAACAAAAACCAAACCAAACCACACAACCCGTTCCCCAGACACCGGCAGAGCTGGTCAGGTATGCATGGGAAGTACTCACTAGGACAAGAAGAAAAACCAAAAAGTAACCACACAACGGGCGTATAGGAAGGGGCGGGTGACTTGCTTCTATCGGGCTGGATTTCTATACATGATGAGCGTTGTCTGTGGCAGCTACCCCTGCCAGAGCTGTGCTTTTTCTACACAAACTTTGAGTGAGTGTGTTTGTGGAGTCGCGTGGCTGGGCAGGGCGGAGCTGCCACTGCCTGGTGGTACATGAGGTGTCTGCGCAGCCAACAGGCATGGGGGAGGGTGGGAACAGTGGCCAGTGGCCTTCTAGAAAGCCTAGCCCTGGGAGGCACCAGGCCCAGTACTGCTGCTGTGGGCCAGCCCCTTCGATCTGGGGTGGGGAGAGGGGGAGGGTGTGGGTACTGACGTGTATGGGTTTTGTTTTTTTTATTTACTTCAAAATAAAAAGGAAATATGGATGAAATGGTGAGTTTTCCTTTTTTCTTTTAAAGCTACAAAGCACATGAGAAATGGTTGTTTTTTTTTTAAATCCTTTCAAGTTCTAAATGTAAAGACTCAACTAAAACCGTATTCTACAGCATTCTACAGAAATACACAGCCGTCAGTCACTCTGGGGTCGTAGGTTAGACAGGGGCTTGGTACAGAAAGGCTGTGTGTCTTACAAAGGCCAAAGGTCATGCTACCAGGAGATCAACATCAACAGCAAAGAGTCCATGAAGCAGTCTGTAGAGAGAGAGACAGGGGCCAGTCTGACCATTTTCTTTGACTTTACAAACCAACCAACCAACCAACCAACAAACCTAGAACATTTAACGAGTGCAGGTAGGGGACACAGTGGGGAGCCCTTGGTAGGGAAGCCCATCCCTGTCTTGTACCTTGTACTGGCCTGGTCTGCCAGTCCAGCCTCCCCTCCCACCCTCCAACCACTCACACCTCGTCCACGGGCCCTCTTTGAGGGAATCTGGCTTAAACTTTGTAGTCGAGTTTGGGCAATGGCTCATGTGTTCCCTCCCCTGAATTATTTGAGAAAGCAGACCAGGTCTCCCATCTCTCTAATTTTTCCCTGTTCCCATGAATAAAGAAAACTCAGGAGACAATGGATTTATCGGAGCAATGATTCTTCTAGATTCTTGAAATAAAACAACCACCACCACCCAAAAGAGAAGGGTCCTCAGAGCTTCCTGTTGTGGCTATGGGGTAGAGGGATGTTTCGGGTGTTGGTCATTTCTTAAATGGTTTTCGAATTTGGGGAGGAGCAGGGCAGAACTGAGCAGACAGCCTCGTGGTAGGATGCAGAGGGGGACAGGCTGGGCAGAACCAGGTCTCCCTCTGCCTGCCCTGCTCAGAGCCCTGGGGCTATCTATAGGCTCCCACCATGCCCTGTGTGAGTGTGTGCACCCACATGTGTGCATGCTCATGTGCTGTCCCAGGAAAACTGATAAGCTAGAGACGGTCAGTTCTGTCCGCAGCTCTTTTGAGTATTAACTAAAAACATTTTTCTAATATATACTTGTGTATAGATAAGGTTATGTTATGCCTCTTTAAAGTTTATTTACCAACTTGCACTGGTTAGTGGTGTGTGTGTGTGTGCGTGTGGGTGTGTGTGTACACAAGCTGTTCGTTGAGTGCTGGAATCATTACCAAATAGGTTGCTATACAGGACAAGAGGTCAGTATAAGCCGCAGCCCCGGAGATTGTTGGCAATGATGATATCGGTGACGGCGTCGAATACCACCTGGATATTATTCGTGTCTGTGGCACAAGTCATGTGACAGTAAATTTCTTTGTTGGGTGAGCGGTTTTTGCTTTCGAACTGTGTTTGGATGTAGGCAGCTGCATCTTCATAGGTGTTGGAGCCTGTAGGAAAATACAGAGGAACAAGCAAGAGGCCCTAGTGAGACCTGGGTCTGAACCGGTATGGTCAGGAGGCAGAGTGGCTGAGGTGAGACAGGAGGGAACAGCAGTGTTACCTCACTCCATTCTCCTGGGCAAGGCCTCACTGGAAGCTACAAACCACCCAAACCCTGGCTTTACTTACTGTGTTTGTATTGTGTGTCTGCGATGGCTCTGGGCAGGGCATCGGCCACAGATGATCTAGTGTACTAAATTAACAAATCTAGGTAAAGCAAGCACCTTTCCACGGCATAGAGCAGAAATGTAAACCAACTCCATCGTGCTTTTTTTCAATTTACTTTTTTGTGTATGTGTGCTTGCCTGTATGTTTGTGTAGCACATGCATGCTTTGGTCTGAAGAGGCCAGAAAAGGATGTTTCGTCTCCTGGAACAGGAGTTACAGACAGTTGTGAGCCGCTGTGTGGACGCTGGAAATCAAACCCAGGTTCTCTGGGAGAGTAGCGGGCGCGCTCTTCACCACTGGGCCATCTCCCCAGCCCATTTGATTCTTTTTAAGATTTATTTTTATTTATGTGTGTGTCTATGTGCGGGTGTGAGTATATGCACATGTGACTGTGGGTGCCCATGGAAGCCAGAAAGGGCATTGGGTCTCCTGGAAATGGAATTATGGATAGTTGTGAGGCAACCTGATTGTGCTAGGAACTGATCTTGGATGCTCTGGAAGAGCGGGAAGCACTTTTAGTCACTGAGCTGTCTCCATCCCTAACCCTGCAATTCTAATAAACCTGTAAACAAAGCCCAGGGAGGAGGGGCACCAAGAGGTGGTTGTGTGGTACTTTAGGTGTGGTGGACATCAAGCCAGCCTATGGTCTATCTTTATGTAGTAACTCCCTCTGAGAGGTCCCTTCGTGGGCTGGGGCATTACTAGGAAGTCTCAATTCTTGGGTAAGTAGCCAGGGCATGGGAACAGAGTGACAAGCTTAAAGGATATTATCATGTGAGATACCCATTGGACTCCAACAATGTCCCTAACAATTCCTTTGGGGTTCCCTAGATTCTGGCAGGATGGGTGGGGATAACAGGGCATATCCGTGGGCGGTTTAAGGACTTTTCCAACCAGCTACAATCTAAGTATTCCTGGATCTGCTCTATAGGCACTGCTTAGTTGAAGAACATATGCTATAGACCATGACAAAAGTTTGGAAACATACAGAACAAGGAAGGTGACCCATTTCCCTTGGTCTGCTAGGATATGGCCTAGTTCAGAAACAGTGGTGTACTGGTGGGTATGAGCCACAGGCTGGTTGGCAGGGGTATGGGCCACTGGAGGCACTGGTTGGCAAGGACTTTCTTTCCTTCTGAAACAGAAGATAGCTCCAAGGTGGAGTTCCTGGCTGGTGCTGGGCCAATGGGAAGGAGTGGAACATCCCCCAGGTGGGGCCAGGGTTAGCCTCTTCCACCCTTCACAGAGCTCCTGAGAGCAGAAGCACATTCAGTGCTGAGCTACAGCAAAGCCACTGAAGAGTAAGGAGTGCTGGAGGCTGCCCTGTCAAAGGAGCTCCCCGGATGGAAAGCTCCAAGAAGAGCAGGCAGACTTCCAGATGGAGGTACTGCCCCACTGCGCCATATCTGCTGAGCCTGGGGTTCTTACAAAGTTACCTTGCACACCCTGGGCCATCCCGTCTCTCAGACACTGACCTCTTAACCAGCTTCCTCCTACCTGTTTTGTGTCCTCACAACTCCATATTCCAGGTGGCATAACATTTGTGACTGTTTATTATCCCTTTATGCTGTTTGCACCCAACTGTATCCTCTGCAGGCCCTGGAGAACTGGGGACATCCAGCATCTACTCCACACCAGTGACACTGGCCACCCAGGCCACATTCTTGCAGAGGCAAAGGAATTCAGCAGTGGCTGCAAAGAGCCATGCTTAATGACATGGCCTCCTTGGCCTTTTAGGGGTGTTTTTGCACTTGTTCAGCCTGCACAGGGTCATTCTTGGTCTCCACAGCCTTTTCTTCCTCGGTACCATGGTAGCACTGACAATCAGTTATGTAGATCTGGTACCAAACACCTGTGTCTCTCACCATTTCTCCAGCCATCCTGAGGCATTGTGGTCTGCTATGGCACCCAGATAAAAATCGGGTGCAGCAGATTAAGTAACTGGCTCCCTCTGCTCCTTGCACTTTGCAAGCCCCACAGTACAAGATGGTGGGCCTTCTTCACATGGCTGTTTCGGCTACTGAAGAGGCTGAGAGAGAGAGACTATCATCCACCTGTGCTGTGGGTTGGGATCCCTTTGGCTGGCTCTGGGGACCTGTGTGGCCCTAGGACCTGAGACCAGTGCCACAGACTAACTCCTGGGCTATGTCAGTGCGTGAGTTCCAGGTCCAAGCAACACGCACACATTCCTGGAGTATGGGATACACCCTCTGCCTTTGCATGGTGTTGATCTTGTCCTCAGCATGATTCTGCTCCAAGGAATCCCTAAAAGTGTCTAGTCTCTTGAGGGCTGGGCTCTGATATTGAATCTATTCTGCCTTTAGCTTTTCTCTCCTATGCCCATTTGGAAAGAGCTTTTTGGGCATGGAGCAGGGGCAGGCTGGCTGTGATCCATTCCCACCCCCTACTCCGAGAACCATACAAAATGGGAAAAAAGACCCAGCAAAGGCAGAAGAAATGCAGGCTGGGGTGGAGAAAGCTTGCAATACATGGAATGCTGTGTTCTGGAGGGAAAAAAAAAAAGCTTTCGTGTGGTCGTGTGAGAGGGGAGAGAGCTGACATGATGGCGAAGGTGTGGTATGTTCAGAACAAACCAGTGGCAGAGCACAGGGGCCTGAGCTGTACTCACAGGCTACTGGCCCTTTTCCTTTCACAAGAAGGTCACTGTGCTGGGCCAGGGGAGGATAGGTATTGCATGAGAATCTGGAAGGCTTTCCTACTAAGTCCTGAGACCTCAGGGGGGGAAAAGCATAGGAACACCAATGGTCCTGTCCTTGCCTTGATCCCTGAATCAACTGCCATGATGCCCGTGGCTTGGGTAAGGCCTCTACCTACTCAGAGACATGTCCACAAATGGTCATGTCTCAGTGCTTCTCCAATATACCGACAGTCTCCGGCACTGGCCCCTTGCTCTCTAGCTGGTCTGCACAGTGCTGGCATAGCCTGTCCCTGGAGCCCACAGGCTATGGGATTCCAGTTGGTGTCTTTTATGGAGGCAAAGGTGAGGGCTGGGGTGTGGGAGATCCAGGTCCACAGTCAGGACTGGCAGGAGGTTTGTCTTCTACAGAGCCAGGATAACACGCACCTGGGTATTCAGGAAAGCAGATGGTCAAGGGTGACTTCTTAATCTTCTCGCCAAAGAGGTCTTTCTTGTTGAGGAAGAGAATGATGGAGGTATCGATGAAAAACTTGTTGTTACAGATGGAGTCGAAGAGCATGAGAGACTCGTGCATGCGGTTCTGCAGCCCCGAAGGGGAGGGGAGAGAGCAAGACAGAGAGAGAGACACAGAGACAGGGAAGAGAAGAAGAGAATTAGGTGTAAAGAGAGACTGGGCTGTTTAGTACCCAGGAGGCCCTGAACCCCAGGCTCCTCCATGAGGTCAGTGTATAAGGCCTACAGGTGGGTATGCATCATGGTGCATCTGATGTTAGCATGCCAGGTATCCACCATTCTGGGCCAATGGGAGACTGGCCTGGGAACCAAAGAGCTATGGCTCTCTGGATGAGGCTGAGGTTAGGATACCCAGACTCTGAATGGCAGAGCCCCTTAGCCATGTGACAGTCTCTCTAAAGCATGTGTGAGCCTGGTGCTGGACTGGTGTCAGTTGGGGTTTCTCCTTGGGTCTGGATCTTGCTTCCTCAGCCCGATCAGGCCTCTTTCATGGGATAACAGGTGGGAGGGTACACACCAGGAAGATGATGCTATGACCATCACTAGGCATCCTTGAGGGTAGCTATTCAAGGAATGTGGAGGGTCATTTCTGAGGATGGGGCAGGAGATGCCTCCTCTTGCTGGGCCCAAACCAGCCACAAGCATCCCTACAAAGTCTTAAGCATGGCAGATATGAATTACTAGCTTGTATACAGAAAGTTGTCTAGTAAAGGGCTGAGTGTGACGGGCACCCAAAATAAAGTTTCAGGAGGAAGGCCATTCATCCTAAGCAAGGGACACTTGTTTTACATCAGGAAGCCAAGTCCATTCACCTATTTCTTGCAGTAGAAGAGTGCCTTGTTGCTCTGTCATTGAACCTCTCCCTGCACAGAGAGATGTGGAAAGAGGCAGCCTCTCTTATAGTCCTAAACAGTCTGTTCTAGCTCTGGGAATCTCATCACCTGGGGCCGGACCCAAGCTCTGAAAAATCTACACTAGATCTCTCTAGCAGGTAAAGGAAGGAGGACAGAACGGGTGTGAGCATTGGCGAACATTGCTGAAGCTCATGGACCTGAAACAAAGAGTAGGAACTGGGTTAGCTGCTGGCCTGGTGGCCATTCTGCCTTCCCGTCTGAGCAGGAGGCTAAGAAAGATGATTCCCCTAGGAGTTACCTTACACCAGCACCACACCCAGCTCTCTACCTGCCTTGTGTCATTTAGCTTCATCAGGGGACAATCAGGTGACACAATTGGGACCCTAAAGAGACTAGAATAGTCCCGAGAGGTGTGGCTGGGTTGGTGGACTGCTTGCCTAGCATGTTGGAGACACTGGCTTCCATCCCCCTCACCTCCGCAACAAACAAAAGCAGAGGCCCTGATGGTTAATGGTAATATGGGGGTGCACAGCCCAAGTTCTCAGCTGCTTCCCACATCCCCTGGGCAACAGAATAAAATATCTTGCCTCTTGAATCTGCAGTGAATTACTGTCCTTCATTCCTATCTATTCTCTGATAAAGCCTCCCTGTCCTTTATACACGACTCACTTGCCAGTGCCATCCTTGTTGGTGAATCTGCTCATGGAGGTTGAACCATGTAGCCCTATGTTCAGGACCCAGCAATGTGACACTGGCAACCAATGCAAGTCTGATACCGAAGCTCTGAGACCCAGAAAATTCAACAGGAAAAGACATCCCACCCCACAGGGGCACCATGTCCTACAGCTGTCAATGCCAAACCTCAGCCAGAAGCAAGTTCTCAACTCCACTGTCCCCATGTCCCAAGCGCTGCTGAGTCTACAGATGGCGGTGGGCACAGTGCAGACACTGGGAACTCTTGAGGACCAGAAGGAAATCACAGATGGGTCACCAGAGTTTAGCTAAAGTTGGGGACTACTTGCTAGGAACAAGGATGAAGGATTCTTAAGGGTCGCTAAAACTTAGGTTTGGAGGACTCAAGACCAGGTCACCAAGACTCCTGGATCCCTGCCTGCTGAGCCTCAGCCCACCACAGTCCTTACCCCAACACCATAGTCCCCTCAGAGTCCAGTAACACAATGACCACAGGCATTAACAAGGTCTGAGGTCCTGGGAGCAGCACAGATTAGCAGAGGTTCTGGGGTTGAAGGATATACACAGACCTGCTCTGCAGGGTCAGGGCATGTCTCTGGCCTGGACAGAATTCTGGGAGGGTAGTGAGAAGGGGAGCTGTCCGTGGGGGAGCACACGCCGGTACTGAGACTCATTCCATGCTCAGTCTGACAGCCATCCTTCAAGAGCCCGTTACCAACATGCCCAGAGCACAGAGCTTGTATTTACAGGAGGAAACAGATGCAAGGTACATTCATATCACACACCACCATTTGAAAAAAAAAAAGAGAGAGAGAAGTCAGGGGTCACAGATGGCCAGCAGCCACCTGCCCACTACTGCCTTCGCACGGAGCCACGGGAGCCCTCCCCAGCCCCAAGTCCTCCCAGTCCATGACCTGCCCAAGTGGCAGCAGAGCTAAGAACAGCAGAAAACCGTGTCCCAGTGACCAGCACCAGAGCATGTGCCATGGCTCCTAGCTCTCCTGAGACACCAGGTGGTAGAGTACTCGGGCACTGGGCCTGGGAAGCAGCTTAGCACAGGGCAGATCTTTCTTCTGCCCTTGGTAAGCTGGGAGCGTGGAGGGTGGCCAGCACTCCCAGAAGCGCTCTGCCTACTCTGCTAGACTGCCCACAGTCCTGAGACTGTGAAAACCTGTTGTGTGGGCTTATCTGGCACTGACACAACACATCACACTCAAGCTAGAAAGAGCTGGCACTTTTTATTAATGGTGGGTGACTAATAAATACATTATGGCAGCCAATAAATTATTACAATAACTAAGTATTTATTAACCAGCAAGTCACTCTTCTTACAAAATTACAGTTAATGAGGGTAGGTGATGGCGATGGGTCAAGAGGTGGGGCCGGTGCACCTAAGAAGGCTCTGCTAAGGGGAACGTGGGGTGCCCGGCCTCTGGCCTGGGACTTGAGGGTGCGTGCACATCAGCCACAGGGGTCAAGTCAGAAGTCAGGGTGAACACCAGGAAGTGGAGGACTGCCGTCCATGCTGGGCAGGCAACTGTGGCTGGTGGAGGAGGCTAAGGGGATGAAGGAGAGGGGAGGACCTGAGGGCTTCTGGGAAGAGCACTGTTTCTGCTGGTGGCCTTTTGTGCCTGGGGAAGAAAAGAAAGCTGCCCGTCATAGGATACTGCACTCTGTCTAGACAGTGCCCAGGGCTTTGGATAGGGGCCATTATTTCTGGTTTTCTTCCATCTGCTCCCTCCTTGATGTGGCCATCATCTGGCACGGGGGAGCGTCTGTGAGTCTGAGCCCCACTCTCTAAGCAAATGAATACAAGGCTCTCCTTACTGAGCGGTGGGGTGTGGGGAAGCCTGCTTACACCCCTGGCCCTGTTCTTTGGGATGCTGGAACTTTCTTTCTTTAGCTTGTAGCCTGATGGGATCAACAGCCTGGAAGGTACTTGTCTCCAGTAGCCCAGATACAATGGAGCAGGAGCCTCAGGACTGGGTTCCTGAGAGCTGTGGGCTGTACCTGGAGCTTAGCAGGAGGCCCAGAACAAAGGGGTGGCAGCTAGAAGATACTCTGTGCCCCCAGGATCTTCAGAAGAGGGTGGTAGGCTACTACTAGGTCAGAAGGGAGGATCTGGAGGGTTCATGTGTCTCTCCTGGGTATGGTGGATCTCCGTGTCAAGATGGAGACATGGGGGGTGGGTCAGGAGGAGAGTGAACCCTACCCTCAGGTCACTGGCTGTAGCATGCAGTACTTAGGAACCATGGGTACGTCTCTTGCAGCAGAACTTTCTGCAGAAGGCAGGGCTGGGGTAAAGCACTATCAACTTTCCCTGTGGGGACCCTGTGGAGAGCCTGGGTATGGGGTTGAACAGGGGGCTCGGCGACATCCAGGGCAGACCGCACAGGTCAGATGCCTCCAGTTCCCAATAGCAGGGTGTGGGGCTGGGCTGCAAGGCTGAGATGATGGAGGTCTTCTGCATGGTACAAGACGGGACAGGGGGACAGGGCACCAGGACCCAGGGGCTCTATCCACAGAAGGGATCGGGAGAGGCTGAAGGCCAGAGCTACTAATGAGTGGCTCAGACTGGGAGGATTCCATCCCCATCCCCACACCAGAGTCCTCTAGCACCCTCCACACTCAGCCCAGAGTCCTCCAGTACCTTCCACAGCTCGGCCCAGAGTCCTCCAGCACCCTCCACAGCTCGGCCCAGAGGCTCAGAGGCCTCTACCTATGCCTAAAGGGAAGATTATCGGAATGGACATAGGCACAGGGCACAGGACTTGCCCACAGGCACCTAGGCAACAGGCACGGTTCCACGAATATGGTGAAGGCACTCTTCCTGGAAACTGGCTCCTGGCCTGCTGAGTTAGACTACTCAGAAACTGTAGCATGGCTCCTCTGGGGACATGGCCACTGCACATAAGGGACATCCATTCCCCTGATCTGGTCATTTTTAACACTTCTCCCATACCCAAAGCCACGGCGGAGCCAAGACTCATCTGTCATGCACATTTGTCCCCCATGGCAGAGCTGCTGGTGATGACACAGGTGGGAGACAGGACAGCTTTCCTTATGGGCCATGTTCTAGTAGACAGCCTGAGACTTCTCTACCTGAGGCTGAGAGCGGTACATGGCACTAGACTGAACACAGTAGGTTGAGTAGAAGGCAGCCTTGGGGACAGGAGCGGGGAAGCTGGGTACAGGCTGATTCTAGCTGAGGGCTCCAGCAACTGTGCTACAGTGATTTGGAGGGGCCGCTTGGGGAACGGGAGCCATAGGGGGATGGCTAGGGGTGGTGACTTCTACCTTCCTGGAAATGGTTTTAAAAGATGGGGCTTGGCCAACACCCCATGACAGCAGGTGCTTTTAAACTTGGGGCTACAGTCTGTGGACACAGGTAGCCACACCCAGGGGTGCTGCGGAGAAATAACTGCTGTTGGCCCAAGGACTGAATTGGCCTTCGCCATCACAGCAGGTCACTGAGACCGTGGTCTCCAGGCTCTGGAACCCCCAGGACATGGCACAGGGT